ATCAAAGGAAGTGCAGAGTTGCCAGAATGGGAAATGGTCTTTATTACCAAAAACAATGTTTAGAAGATGTACAGTTTTGCTCAACTTTTAATCAGGGTTTAAGAGTGTCATTGCTTATGTGAAATTTGGACAAGCGTATTTAGCTTTCCATCGTCTAACAATAGAGCTTGAAAACTACTAAATAGCAAAAAATAATAATAAATAATAATAATAATAATAGTAGTAATTCTACACAACAGCAGACACTGTATCACATGCTGCAGGCGTGTGTGTTCTCATGTAGAAGGTCTACTGGCAGCACTGCAGGTCCATTTCCCTCTCTGTCCTTTATCCATGCATCTGTAACATTTAGTGCTTTTTTCTTTGTAAAATCGAGGCCCCTGGTATATGAATAGGTAAGAAACAATCAAGGCTTTGGCTTCCATTGAAGCAGTGTAGCCAAAAAAGAGCTAGCCTTGTGGAGTATGTTTGGGTGGCCTGAAAGAATAGCTCTGACAGCTGTTGTATTAACATGGAATATGAGGAACACATACCCTGTTGTCTGGTTTACAGCATAATCTGCGCAAGCTGATTCAGTGGACAGAGCTAAAGCCTCTCTGTCTGCACAGGTGGATTGATGATAGAGATGATCTTTAAAAATTAGAGATTAATTAAACTCCAGCACTAGAAACAATATGAAGAAACAGTAACACAGAAGTGCAAAGCTACGTGGCCATTTTGGGTGTCTGCTCATTGCTGATGAAGGCCCATTAGAAAGCCCGTGAGGCCTCAATGGCATCTGTGTGCCCATTGTGGGAGAGCCAGGCCCGCTTAGGCAGCTGAGCTTAGCACAGTGGGACCAAAGGCCCTGAGGATTGGGAGAAGCTCACCTGGTCCCAGCTGGAAGAGATTAGGCAAGAACAGTGCTTTGTTTCCAGAAGGCAGAGTACAATTATCGTATTTTCTAATGCACCCTTCACCTTCTCAGACAATCAGTCTGACTTGGTGAACACTTTTCAAATTATTGTGAAAACTGCTTCATATGTCTTGGCATTGATCCACTCCAGGTAGGGCTTTGTATGTGGGAGTGTGTATGCGGATAAACCATTAGGATTGCGGAAGAGGTGTTCATGTTGATTGTGGACTCTCACGCAGCTGTCTACCTAGGTTCTGGCTATGGCTTGGAGATACCATGTTCTTGTCACAGCTTTGCTCCTACTCACATTGAAGCCCCTTTGAATGCTTGTTTGGGCAAATGAATGTAGTGGTTACCAAGAAGACAAGATCAGCATAAATAGCAGAATTTTTAATGTAATAAGTAAGCTGGCAAATGTTGGAATGAGAGACTGTCATGTCTTATTTCCTTGGCCAATGGCACATATCTTCTGGTTTCACATGAGTGTCCCAGGGTGTGTCATTTGAGGAAAAACTCAGGCCGAGATGTCTTTCCATTGTCACTACAGTCCTCCCCCTTTCAACCAATCCTGAAATGACAGTGATGACCAAAAAAAAAAAGAAACCCTCAAATTGTTCAGTGTTGCAGAGCTGCAAAGAGATAGTTAGCTGCCTGGAAGTCTTTGCATCTTCCTTAAGGCAGACCAGTCATTGTGAAAGTTGGAGGCCCTGAGCTGGGGCCTCTGCGATCCTTGACACAATCACGGGGCACCTCACTGTGCCCGTGATACAGCACAAGAGCCTTGGGGTGCAGGCCCTTGACGTGTCACCCCCTACCCAGTTGTGCCCGTGGGTCTGGGAGCAGATGAGCTGCACGTGCGCTGCCGAGCTGCGTGAGTGTAATAGTTGCATCACCAGAGTCCCAGTGATGCTGCTGTCTGTAAAAGAAATGCTTACTGTATTAATACAGCAAAAGCCACGTTCTTTTACCAGGGCAAGGGTGTTGATGGTGCAGCACAGGCAATGCACGTTCAGAGGACATCCAGCAGCCGGGCAGCTGGCTGGTGAGCCGTGGGGGGAGCAAACATATAGCTGTGCCTATATTTCAAATCAGGAAGTAAAGCTGCACAAAATGTATTTATTTAGACACTATTTAGTGAAATCATTCCCTTTTCACTTGCATATCTGACACTCAAATCTACTTGCGAAAATCACTGGAACCCCACAATGCATCTTCCTTTGCACCTATGGTAGCTAAGGCGTATTGGGCCAGGTTTTTACTGGAGCTCATTTTGGCACTTAGGGCATGATTGCAAATGTCCTCTGAATGAAGCACATCCTCTTGTGATGCAGATGACTACTTTTTCAAAGGAGGTAGTAACTGCTATCAGAACAGTTTGGAAATGGCAGCTTTGCCCTTTTGAAAATCTAGCCAGAGTTTAACAATAGGTGAGAACACTTTCTGAAGAGGAGGACCAGAAGAATCAGGTATCACAGTGGAGCTACAGGGGATATTTAAGGAGGCGCAATGACAATTCTGCCACTGTGGCCACTGCAGCCACTGCAGCATGGGAATAAAGAAACTCTATATACTGCAGTCAGTCGTAATTGAAGAGAAATCTCTGCTGTAGGTGCTGCAGCTGCAGCTCCTCCTTTGCTATTTTGTCAGTCATGGGTCAAGTTAAGTCACAAGAGCACTAAAGAGAGGGACCATCAGGGTGACAGTCTATCATGGTGGAGGAAAAAAAATTATTCTAGCCTGTCCTACTAAACTGCCCAGGGGACTGAGTGCCAGGAATTCAGGAGCTCGGTTCACAGTGCTGACAATGATTTCTGTGTGGCTTTGGGCAGCTTGTCTGTTAAATCACTACATCACAGCTTGTGCACGCATTAAAATAAAAAGCATGCCTATATAACAGGCCTGTTTTGAGGTTTATATTTATATATCATGTTGTAAATCAGAAGCATTACATATCATCTACTGCTGCTATTATTAAATTACTAGCAGACTGCTTCAGGTTATGTTATTTTGCGTTTTGTGTCAATAGCTGAGACTTTTTTTAGTTTGGGGTTTTTTTAGGCAGTATATATACTTTTATATGCCTACATTATTAACAATTGCTTAAAGTTTTCCACAGCTCTGAATGTTTCCTTTCCTAAGAAAACATAATCCAGAGAGAAACAATCCAGAATGTATCACTTGCTACAGTAGCATAGTGACAGTAATACTTCATATAGTAATAGAAATACTTGCTGCAGTAAATTTTTCTGGTTCGTACCAGGCAGGCAGATCCTGAGAGGCACACATTTGTGTAAGTCCATTAACTTCACAGGAGCTACATTAGCTTACTCCAGCCAAGGAAGTCGCCCCGAGTATCTTTTTATATGTTAGAGTTGTTGGTTGACTGGGACACATCACATTTAGTTGCTGTGGTTCTATTTATGAGGAGTCATTCATCCCAGATTTCATTGGCTTTTTGGGACTATCTCTACTAAACTGGGTGAGCAACATTACTATAAGGAGAAATTGCTAGTAGGATTTTTTTTCCACTTATCTATTTTTTAATTTTTCTCTTCATTTATTCAAATACCTATTACAGCCATTTACCTCCATCAGCTCCCAGATTTACTTTCACTCGGCACACTGCTGTTGATGTGGAATCAAATCACTGATATGGCTTCAAATGCGTACTTCAATCACAGACAACCACTGACCGTCATTATCAGTGCAAACGCATGTCAGTCGTGATGAGTGTTAAGTCTCTGATGTATATTCAAGTATGCCGTATTACATTATGATACATTATGTTCTAGACAAGTGCTTAAACCGTGTCACTGTAATTAAGTCATGAAAATGCGTGCAAAAGCAACCAGGCATTTATTCTCATTAAAAACGTTGGTGGTTTTTTTTTTTTTTTTGAAAAGGTGCTTCCCTGTGAATGCCACTGTTTTAAATCTGTGCTCTGTGCCTAGTTTTTACATAGAACTAACCACATTTAAGGTTGGAAGTCTTGAGATTCAAGCCAGTAATGGAAGTATGAATTTCTGAAAATGCCAGCCATCCTTCTTCTAGAACCCTGTTATTCAAAAGCACCAGAGGCATTCTCTAGCAATAAGAAACTCATGCTAAAAACACTTTCTTTACTCCTAATGAGATTTCTAGTAGAATGAGTCTTTCAGCATTCACTGTGCAGTTGCATTTGAGATTCCAAAATGCAGAGACCTTCCTTGGACTTTTTGTAGCTACTTTTTGTGTCATATCTATCATTCGAATCTATGAAATGAGAGTCACTAAGCAGTGCTCTCAACTGGGCAAATGATTGAGGCTCTTTGATCGACACCTCAAATATAGATGATAGAAGCGTTGATGAGAAGTCAATGCCATGCTAATAGCAGGCTTTCCATGCAGTGATGTCAGTTAAGCAGCAGGTATAATGTTTTTCTGAGACCTGCCACTTGTAGACCAAAATGTTTTCGTGCCTCACTGTATTGTCTGGAAATGCAAAGTATATATGCCTATGCTGAATACAGAAGACTGACGTATGGATGAGATGTCTTTCTACAGTTTGGCTACATAACCAAGTGCAACCTCTGGTCAACCTGTCGTTCTTTACAATAGCATGGCCCAAAGAGTCAAGTGATTGCCAGTAGGCTCAGCTCAGTTCTTTCCTGACATTAAATGCCTATATGTTTTCATTTCTGACAAACCCACCTGACAAGTAATGTCTATTCATTTATCAGCAGATATGCAAGCATATGCCAGTATTATGAATGTATGCATTTTTATGTCAAAGATGTCATTTCAAAACTATTATTATTAAAAACTATTCAAGTTTTTTGATTTCTAAATGACACTTCTTGTAACTCCTGTTATTTATGGGTAAACAAAACTATAGGAATAAAAAACGAGTCCCACACCTTCTGAATATAAACTAATTATGGCTCCATCTGGTTTTGGCAGATAGTCAGCATGACTCTCATTTTCACAAGGTTTAAGTTGTCCTTGCCCAGAATGATGATTAAGAGAAAAAATTAAAATATAAATTTGTTTAAAGAGTAGAAATTGCTTGTTTTATGCTCAGTGCTGCCAGCCAGTATCTTACTACATTGTGCTTCACTTATTTTAGATAATTGATAAGAGCAAGAGAGACCCCTCTGAAGAGATTGAGATCCTCTTGCGATATGGACAGCATCCAAACATCATTACTCTGAAGGATGTGAGTAGTCTTTGAGTTCTTCCGCATTCAACTATTCTCAGTTTAACATCAAGCTCACCTACTAGTCCATGTCTGGAAAAATTTCCAGTTCTAATTGTCAGTCAAGGCTAAAACTAGACCCACTGAAATCAAGGAAAGAACAGGACTTTAACAAATTGGAAAGACTGGTCAGGTTGTATATTCTCCAAATACCATCTGACCGACTGTAGATAAAACCAAAAGGGCACAGTGCTGGAGAGCAACAAATGTGTTTGGTTTACCACCACATTTTAGAAGTGAGATCTCATCGGTCTAGTATTTCAGAGCAAGTTGTTCAACACACACAGTGGTGCTGCTAGGCATAGGAGGTGCTGTTTCTTGAGAAACAGCATTTCCTACACAGCCTGTGGGGTCTCTTTGATTGAGGAGAACTAGCAAGGCCACTGTGGCTTCCTTTGATGGTGTTTTAATGCAAGGGAGCCTTTACATTTGACTCACTCGGCCTCAGAGGACAAGGAGAAAAGCATTTCTTTCGCATTTTATATGAAGAGTAGTCTTCATTGTGTGAGATTCAGAGCTGAAAGATCAAAATCCTGTTTGTGCCAGTGGCTAGTACTTAATGGTTCAGATCTTCCAGAAGTATACAAAAAATTTCTAATCACATGTCTTCAGGAAAGTCTTACCTAATTCCTAAATGTTGGAGAGCATCTTAAAATCTGCATTAAAAAGGTTTTATTTTCCTTCCAAAAATATTTAGCACTGATGACTGTAATGTTGTCTGTTATTCCAGTCCAAATAAAAGATTGTGACATGAAAATGGCCATCTTCCAGTTTAGACAAAAAGTGTCTTTTACCCCTTGCTGTTGACGTTGAAGGTAAATACATTTTGCAGATGATGTCAACAATATATTCACCAGAATTACAAATATAAACTATATGATATCATTGAAAGTAAGTCTTGGCCAACAGTATAATACAGTTCATTTAGCTGATCGTGAGTCAAAGGGAAATATTGATATTTAAAATGGCAAATATTACCCTGTAGAACTGGAAAGAGAGAACACTACTGGGAAGGAGGCTTAGGTAAGAGCCAGCAGACATTTCAGGCTGCGTGAAGTGGTGCTGCTTTTAGCAGTTTGGTCTACTCTGCTGACATGATAGCAGATCATGCAAACTACGTTTCTATGCAGACAAATCAGCAAGTTGCTACAGACTTGATAAAAAAGTGATGAAGTCATGTTGTAAAGCTGGCTTTTCTGTTGGTAAATATAAGAAGCAGATTCCCCACATGAGCTCACGCTTTCTGCTTGCTTATCTTGCTCAAGCAAGTCGATGCTGTGACTAAAAAGCCAACCTTCACCAAGTTAGTGGGTCCAGAACATACACTTATTTTGTTGCTCTTCCAGGTCTATGATGATGGGAAATATGTGTACCTGGTGATGGAGCTGATGCGAGGGGGTGAGCTCCTGGACCGCATTCTTCGGCAGAAGTGTTTCTCAGAGCGAGAAGCAAGTGCTGTGCTATGTACCATCACCAGGACCGTGGACTACCTGCATTCCCAGGGAGTAAGCATTGCTTTTTCAGTTCTCTGGATCAGTCTTCTCAAAATCTGACTTCCAGAAAAAGCAAATAGCTGTGATTTTGCTTCTCTGAAATGTAGATAGGTTTTTTCCTCAAAAAAGTAATGAAAGAACTATGTGGTTCTTTTCCATACATATAATTACATGTAGTTCATGAAATAGGGTCATAGGCTTTTTAGCCATTTCCCAACTGAATTGCAGTGTATTTAAATGATATTTTTCTTCCCCAAATTACACTGATTTGCAAGTCCATGAACCGTGATGAGTTTACTTTTTCTCACAATCATTATTACAGCATCTGATTTTTTAACAAAATTTCAATCAGCATATCTGAATAAACAGATAGTGAATCAAATGCTCAGTTTTCAAAACTAAGTGTTAGTTTGTGCAGCTGTTGGGAAAGGTTTCTGACATGCTGTTAAAAAGCTAATTTTTAACATTTGAGCTTTCTGTGTAAAGCAATTTGAAAAAGTCTCTTTCCACTTCTCAGTGACAAACAGTTTGGATAACTAGTGAAATAGCTGCTGCTTTTTCACTTTTGTGGTTAAAACAAGTTCATGTTGTTCATGTATGTTTTTATGACGGTTTTTCAATGTTGATATAATCAATAAAGGCCATTTTACCACCACAGAAATATAGCGCCTCTAGTAAAACACAGCAACTTGAAGTTGCATAGCTCCCCAAAGGATTTTTGTGAAGGGAAATGAAGAAAAATAAGCCCTGCCTTCAGTGTGAGCACCGTATGAACAGCCTCAAGAAGACTCTTAATGCGTTTTCCTTCTCTGACTGGACTTTCCCCTCGCTTTTCAAGTGAAGAATTAGGGCTGTCAGGTTCCAAGTGGCACCGATACTTTTAAAACACAGAAGTATACAAACATTAAATTGAGCCGGAACGTTTTGGCCGGCAAGTGCAACGTGCTGCAGTCACAGGCAACTGCACAGTCTTTGCCCCATTTAAAGGGGTTCCAGAGCTTCTGAGGAGGATACATTGCATTTGTACAGCAGTCCCATCCAACAACCCTCAGGAAAGATGTCCCCCGTTAGAACAGCTGCCTCTGTCTTAATATATCCACAGAGGTTGCAGAACATGCTCTTTGTGATCTTAGTGGACTTCAGCCTTTTTTTTTTTTCATTTACCCAAGCTTCCTAAGCAACCTTTTTCCAAACTGTAAATATTTTAGGCATGAGCTCTTGACCTACCTCAAACAATAGACCAGAAGTTTAGAACGATGGCAATGAACCCTGGATGCTCTGTAACCTCCTCTCTTCACTTACTATTCACTGCTTTCTTGTTAAGGTGGTGCATCGAGATTTGAAGCCAAGTAATATCCTCTACATGGATGAATCAGGAAACCCAGATTCCATCAGGATCTGTGACTTTGGGTTTGCCAAACAACTGAGAGCAGAGAACGGACTGCTCATGACTCCATGCTACACCGCCAACTTTGTTGCCCCTGAGGTATGATCATAAGCTGTGACTAATGATTATGTCATAAAAAGCAATCTTTTTCCCTCTCTCCCTTTTTCTCTGTGCCTTCAAAGGAGGAGCAAGCAAAAATCAGGCTACAAACACTTTCACAGCCTCTATTACCATAATTTTCCTATTCCTGTCAATCTTTTCAGGCCGCTTGTTTTTCTCCTGATAGGAGGCGGTGTCTGTCTGAGACTGACTTACACAATGCCTTGGCATATTACTCCAGGATAAAAATCATTTTTAATTTAGCTGCTTCTCCTAAGAGTGCTTCCCCTTCAGTGCACTGTGTTACCACAGAATAAGGCCTATGAGGGAAATTTTGAAAGCAAACGTCTGGGGGTGCGATTTCTGATTTCAGTTCAAACCAACAGAGTTTAAACTGGCAACATTTGTGATTACAGGAACTATATAAAATGAGTTTGCAATGAGAAAGAGAGGTCCTACTAATGCAGGGAATGTTGGAGATTAATTGAAACATTACCAGAACTGACGGAGAGCCTTAAGTGCTTTTACATTTTGCCTGTGATATAATGCTGCCCTCCAGGCTGGACTTGACTTTTACATTCTCTTTCTCAGCCCCGTTGCAATATCTGCGATATGCTTATGAAACAGGTAGGAAGTCAGTTGAGTCAGGAGGACAGTGGCAGAGGAAGGATGATGTGTTTGTCTGCTGACATTTGCCTTTATTTTGGAAACATTTAATTTGGGGTTTAGATGAGAACGTCAGAAACGATGAAAGCTATCCAAGGGAAAGAAGCGGTCTGCCACCTAGCGCAAATCATGTTGTTTGCAAAGAGCAAGTAGCGAGGTTCAGTCAGGGGAAAAAACACAACGTAGTGTTTCCCTGCTAATGCAGTAGGGTCCTTTTGGATAAAGTAAGAAGCCTTTCTTCTTCGGATTTAATCCAAATCCCAGAAAGAACTGCTGTGTTGGCGTTTGAAAGTATAAGATTTTTTACTCTCTTTCATACTCATTCACTTCCCTGCTTGTATCACAACTGCAAGCAGAACGTAGCTGAGAAAAGCCTATTTTCAGAACATTGTTAATCCGATAATACAAAACCCACAGAGGTAAGAGGGTTTGGGATAAACATCTGAGCCGTTGTCAGAACTGAATGAACCCAGCTGCAGATTGATCCTTGTCACTGAAATGCCCTGCCATGTGCGGAGAAAAGAGCCAGCTCCTGCATATATTTCAAATCCCACCGAATTCTCTAGACGACCTAATACCCTTCGTATGTGATATATTCTTCAGCTCCCCTTAGAGAAGGACACCACTGCATCTTTTGCAAAGCTCCTTCGCTGGCTGATTTGTTTTTAAGACAAATGCCTATTACTGTTTGATAATATCTAGCCGCTAGACCAAATACTAATCTTTCTGGCCAAAGTTTCCAGCGTTTGCTCTGCTAACGCAGTGTTCCTGATTTAACTACTGAGTTGCGAAGACCTGCTAGACACATTTTAAAATAGCAGAGGTACTAACTATTAACTCTCACTAGATACTGTTTTTATTCATGGGGTTAAATTGCTGCTGGTGGAAGGTGATTGCTGCCAAAGCTTTCCCTAGACACTGCCACAGAGTGAATGTACCTGTTATCTAGTGGAGTTCTTGCACGCTGAATAATATGCAAGATTTATGTAGCTGCTTCCTTAATATCCTGTCCCCCTACCCGTCGTCACTGCCTCATTTTTCCATCATTTGCCTTTAATTGACTTAATTGTCCTTGATTACTTGAGGAAGATAGCGATGGCAGTCAAAATGTAACTGTTCACGGTGCAAGAAGAATGCCCACGCTGACAGATAGATGTTGGGCATTCAATCTCACAGGTGAGGCAAATTAATTTGACAAACAACAAAGCAAATTTTCTCATAAAAATCAATGTAATAGAGGGGAGATGCATGCAGAGACTTAAGAAATAAATACAACTAAAATAGCCATAGAAAGTATATATGATGTGCAAGAGAGAGAGGCAGAAACAGAATTACCAGTACGGTTAACAGGAGGAAATGCTAGATTTTTGACCAGTTTTTTCAAGGTAACAAATGTTCACTCAGCAGCATACCTGGCAGATGGTTGCTTTGCCATTCATTATTTGCAAAGTCTGTTGAGGGAACGTTTTCTGAACCTGTTTTTTTCCTAGCAGTGCTTGTTTTTTAATACAATAAACTTCAAATAGATGAAATCACTGCTGGGTAATACGACTCCAGGTCAGAAAAAGACTTACTGAATGTATATACTCCTTTTTCAAAAAGATCTACTGATCCATCAGAAGAAGACAAGACTCTTCTGATGTGTCAGGACTGAGGTTAAACAAACAGAATAGTTATTCACTTTTCAAGGAAATGGAGCCAAACTTAAATGAAGTTTTCTCCCTCAGTTACTAACTTCACTCTCACGTGGACCTGCAATGACTCAAATAGGCATTTCTTCTGGTACCTATTAGCATAAATGAAATCCATATTATATACCCTTACTACTCTGACTCTCTATCTTCTACTGGTATTGAGCAGATCTCTGGCAGATACAGTTTGTTTTCCCCACGGGGAAAAGTGATCATGTTCTAGCTAGTATCTATTAAGCTGAATCTAAATGTGACCGCTTTTCTTAAAGTAAAACATGGAGTAAGCCTTTTAGTTTTCTTTTCGGTTGTCATACCTCTTTACTAGTCTGACATTAGATACGAGTTAGTGAGCATCCATGTGCTATATCAGATCCAAATAAAGCCCAGACCTACATTTGTTGCATCCCCAGTGTTTTTAGTAACCTCTGCGTGAGGAGATTAGGTTTGAAAGCATTAATTAACATATTTGAACGGACATTTTTTAAAACACTGAAGTAAACAGGGGAGGTTGGTTTGCTTTCTTGTGTTAGATGGTCAGAGAGACTCCTGGGGCCTCTAACAAAGTGTATTCATCTCTGTCACTGCAGAGGTCACAGTTATGCTGGGCTTGCGCACTAAATAGCTCTCTCCCATCCGGGTTTGACCTCGCTCCCACACCGTCACCAAACAGTTGGCTCCTGAAGCAGCCACCTGTTCAATACAAGCGACAAGGGCAAGCTCTGAAAACATCAGCAGCAGATGACAACCACGAATCAGTGCTTCTGGAAGCCCAGAAGCTGAAAATTCAGGAATGTGGATTAACCTATTTTTCTCTTGCTTTCCTTCACATAGGTCCTTAAACGCCAAGGTTACGATGCAGCTTGTGACATCTGGAGCTTAGGGATCCTACTGTATACCATGTTGGCAGGGTAAGTGAAGAAGTTTTCCTAGAGCAGCAGTCTCCGGTGGGGCGTACTTCAACACTGCCTAAGGCCAGAAGGGAGTCATAGATACAGACGCTGAACTTTCTGGCCACCTTTGAGAAATGTGCTCAGTTGTGTCAGGCAAGAAAATAGATGCTGAGATCTGGAGTTAGGGTAGGTTTTTCAAAAATACTTAAGCATCTTTGACACTTTAGAAGTAGCTTAGATCCTTAACAGCCTATGTCCTGTAAGTTTTCACTGAGACTCAGGTTCCTAAAAGGCTCAGCCAGTTAAGCAGTATGAAAATTTTGCACTAGGAGAGTAATGTAGGAGCTACATATTAAGAGCCCAAATATGTTAACCTTCTCCATAAGAGGAGATTCATTCATTTCTGTTGCTACATGTATTCTCTTCAGCTTCATTCTTCTTCTTCTGTTCTTGTTATTGAGGTACCTGAACACCTTTAAAAGCTAGAAAAATCTAAACAGTGTTTTCAGATGCTATTTGAAAAATATGCTGCAGAGAGTGCAGAAAGTAAATAGGCAGACCAGCAAGAACAGCGACAGCGAGCAGGAATTGAAGGGAGGGAAGAGGGGAAGGGAGGGGTACCAGAAAAAGAAAAACCTACCGGCGTATTGGCTAACACTAAATATTGGCAGAAGAAGGCTCAAAGAAAGAGAGATTGAAATAAGTAGACGCGGATAAGAATAAGATGCTGGGGTGAATGGGAAACGCAGTGTGCAAACCCAATCTGGAGTTATCAGGTCCCTGAAAACACTGAATTTCACTTTATCTTGCTGGCTGCAGGATATGGGACGTGCACATTTGTTGTAACTAAGTACAGCTTGAAACTTTTCAGTGACCTCTCGTAGCTCTTAAATCTACTTCGTGATCATTCAGCCATGGAAAGCAGCTTGGATTCTTTCCTAGATTTATACAGAAAGCAAACACTTAGATCCTGCTTTTCTGTTACTTGCGTCTCTTGCCTCATGGACTGTAGAAAAAGTGCCAGGAGTTTCTATCCCATCTGTTTTGTTCCTGAGTGCAAGGGTGTTCAGCATTAGCTGGAATACGTTGTGACTCTCTGGAACAGTCTCCCTATCTGTCATGATCTCTGAGAAACTTGTTTCTGCTTGGCCGTGGATTTGCAGTGATACACAATCAGAATCAGTAAAATGAAACCAACACGTTACCCACAATTAGATCCTCTGACTGCTTGTAGTATCAATGTCTTTTGTTTTAAAATGTGATCCTACAAAGAAACCCAAATATATTTGAATTTGAAGTACAAACTGTACAACTTAGTGGATATTAAATTTGCCGACAGGTGCTGTTAACTTGTACCTCACTTTGTTCTACACTTAGAAGAGAAAATAAGAATAAGGCAAACAGGTGACAGGCACTTGCTTTTTAAGTGCCCTCATTGCGTTTAGGGATGTCCTTTTTCTTCCTTTTGAGAGCGTGAGGGCAGTTGGCGTGGTGAACAGCGAGGTCTCAAGATGGTCTGAAGAGTACTGATGCTTTAATGAGGACATGGTGCAAGAATTTAGGCAGAGGGATGCCTAATCCAAACTAACAATAATCTCTTGGCACGACAAGATGCTGTGTGTGTAGTAGGAACTGACTATTACTTACATCCAGTGCTTTATTCTCTTTTCATCACCACTATGAGCAGAGAGTACTCATATGCTAGGGACTAGAGCAGCAGTCTGGGATCCTGTTACTGCAGGCCTGGGCAGACTCTGGAGGGCTTAACTTTCTGTACAACCCTTTTGACAGTTACAGACCGGAATAATATTCTGTCTCTCTCTTTGGGCGGAACTTGTGTGAAATTTAAAATGTCTTTGAAAATTAGAAAATATTATCAGTGTGAGGAATCGAGCAGGTTATTACAAACCAGGTGGGGTGAGAAGCTATGGCCCAACCAAGAGCACTGTTTAGCAATATACCATAATATTTCAGAAGAGAAAAGACAGATGGAAGGAAAAGTCTAAAATCCAAAATGCCCCCTTCTCCTAAATCCACACAGCAGTTCAAGATTGCCGAGTAAAGTTTTACCTTGTAAATTTTAGTCAATTGCAAAATCTCATCACTTGTCACTTTATGCAGGAAAAGAAGTGTGCCCTGTGCATGTCAGTCACTGTAATTTTGTGAAGCTGGATACATGTTACTAGTACTTACTGACTGGCTAGATCATTGCAGATCATTTGTTTAACCCAACAGAATTGCACATTTTGATTAATATAGGACTGCAAAATAGATTGTAAAGGTTTTTTTTTTTTGCTTTTCTTTTCACTATCTCAGATCTGAATTTTTCCTCTTTATTATTTTTATCCTTTGTTACCATTATCAAGGTTCTTTCATTAGCAATAAAGCACAGTCAAAAGGATTAAAGAAAAAGTAAAAACCTCCATATTTTTAACAAGAATATGACATTCCTTACATATGAGAAAGGAATAGACATATTAGAATAGACTTCCTGAACCACAGGCAGTTCCATCTAAACCTGAGAAAAAACTTCTTTCCTGGGAGGGTGACAGGGCACTGGCACAGGTTGCCCAGAGAGGTGGTGGAGTCTCCTTCCCTGGAGATATTCAAAACCTGCCTGGACGTGATCCTGTGCAATGTGGTCTAGAGGACCCTGCTTAAGCAGGGAGGTTGGACTCGATGATCTCCAGAGGTCCCTTGCAGCCTAAACAATTCTGGGATTCTGTGATTTTAAAAAAAAAAGAACAGAGCATTCTTTTCCTGTGCAGAACAATTTAACATGAGGAATCATTGCCCTGTGCGGTCAGGATTGAAATGAAGCAGCCATTTCTGTGGTCCGTTCTAGAACCAAATTCCCATTGTTGTATGTGGTAGTTAGCATTAGATCCTAGAAATTATACACCTGCAAATTGCAGTATATTTTTTCTACTTTATTTTAAAATAGGTTCACTCCTTTTGCAAATGGACCAGATGACACCCCGGAAGAGATTCTGGCCAGGATTGGCAGTGGCAAATATGCACTTACGGGAGGAAACTGGGATTCAGTATCTGATACTGCAAAGGTTGGCAGACGCTTCTCAGATATTTTTCTTGTTCTCTTAAATGGGCTGGCAGTCTGGTAAACTCAAGAGATAGTCAGAAGCATTATTTTTCAGTGCCTCATGAAATAAGAACTTGTTTTTTTATGTTTAAGCTGCTCTGCATGAAATGTTACATTAGGAATTTTGATAGTTTGTTCATTAAGCTAAGGCATAATATAGCACCATCGATTATGAATATTTCTAATATTAAAACAGCACAGAAGTCCTTTTTGATTCAACTCAACTTTTAAAATAAGTGTAGGTTAGTCAACGCCTTAAACACATGATCTATTTTGAATCATCTCTTTCATGATGAAAAGAATAACCTCAAAGTTAATCATGAGCAGGAAATTGAAAAACTAGCACTTTTAACTCCTGTACTGTCCACAGTTCAGACTGCTTGTCTGTCACAAAGCCTGGAAACCCCAGGAGCTGGCATTCTCAGGTGCTGAGACTTTTGGGCTTCAAGCTGTGCACTAGTCTATGAGATAGGTAGTTGGGCTGGAAGCTTCCAATGATGGGCAAATTTCCAATTGTCTGGTATTAGTCAGAAACTTTGACAGGGTGTATACGTTCCCAGAAGAGATTTCAGTTTTAACAAGTGGTAGTTTCCGATGGAAGAACATTGACATATTCCATCACAAAACCTCAAGCAGGCCCAGTAACTTATTCGTCTTGCTACCAATACATATGAGTCTCGTTATCAGACGGAGAGATTTTTATCAAATGTCTGGTTTTGAAATTAAGATGTTCAGATGGGATAGAACTGATCTTGTTGAATTTCAGCCAACTACATGTTAGATTTCTGTTTCAAGCTTGTCTTGTAAGCGTGCTCTGGAGTCAGTGAGAAGATGCCTCCTGATGGCATCCTCTTTAGCTGGAATGATTCACCCCTACAAGGTCACCGATAATTGTTAACAGTCACTCAGTAGGCTGAATACTATTCCAAATTATCTTTTGACTGGACTGTCAATTGAGAATTGAACATTACACCTGAAAATTTTGAAAGTTGGACTTTACACTTAAAAAGTATAAAGTGTATCTAAAAGCATCCCCCTCTCCGTTGACATGCTGGTGATGGCACTGCTATGGGGAAGATCTTAGTAAAACTCAGAATGGTATTAATTACTTTTTCCCTTTTACCTTTTTCTTCCTTTTAAACCCAGGATATTGTGTCTAAGATGCTTCACGTAGACCCTCATCAGCGCCTCACAGCAGTCCAAGTATTAAGACATCCATGGATAGTGAACAGAGAGTATCTGTCTCAAAATCAACTCAGCAGACAGGATGTTCACTTGGTGAAGGTATATCCTACACTCTTGAATCTTCTTTTCTTGGAGAAAGAGCTGTGATTTGTGCAAATGTCCTGGAAAAAGAGAGAGGACTCAGGAAGATTATTTGCCACAGAGGCCAAATTTAATAGGGCATTGTATTAACAGTAAAGCTTTCTGACCTATCATCTGCTCAACTTTAAGCTGCACTGTAGTGAACTGGTGGGACTCTCTGCATGCAGCACTACCCACCGCTCTGAATCAGAGACACTCACCTGTCTGCTAGCCTATACATTGTTATCATTTAATGAAAATTGTCCATTCTCCCAGGGGATTGAATAGGAAAAGGGAGGGGAAAAGCATCAAAGAACTAAACTTCATCTCAGCATTTTCTCTTTTTTATTTTACAGGGTGCAATGGCAGCCACTTACTTTGCTTTAAACCGAGCACCTCAGGCACCAAGGCTGGAGCCTGTATTGTCCTCCAATTTGGCTCAGCGGAGGGGCATGAAAAGACTTACCTCAACCAGGTTGTAGCAGTACCCCCAAAACGCCTCTTTGAAAATCCACAGTTTATTATTTGAGAGGTTCATCTTCACTCGGTTAGTAGAACTTTTTTGGACAACTTGCACATGAGATCACCAGAACAAGCAGAAGCCCAGCATAAGGCAAAGTTCTCCTTTCTATCATTTCTTTTACATTCCAGCCAGGATCCTGAGTTTAACAACTTCTCAAAGATGTGCCAATTTTGCTGGTAGCTCTATTTCCTTACTGAGAGAAAGCCAAATAAAGTAGGTGCGTTCCATCCTTCCCACCCTAGAAAATACTATTTTTGAGTCCTTAAGATGTTCCATGAGAACATAGTTTTCATTTTCTTTTTCAAGAAAAGCACTTTTTGGTATGAAGAATGCAGTTGGGTTTGAATGTTCAGCTGTTCCAGAAGGCGATATGAAGAAGTGGCCCAGCCAGTCATCTACTGACCTGCTGCAAATGGAGTTCCCCCAAAGAAGAGCGAAGGCTGTGGAGACACATATATAATACCTTACTTGAAACAAGTGCTGTCTAATATGAAGGAGGGAGAGTTGTCAATGGCGAAAATACCTTCTGATGTAAAGAAATCTTTTGCACTTTGCAACTGCCCTCTGTGGAACAGTCAGCAGTGCTCTAGGAGCACATGCCACGAGCCCTGACTTATGCAAAGGTTGGGCCCTCTGAGAGCAGAAAATCTCCAAGAAACATCTTCTGAGGAGATTACGGAGACTTATGAGACTGTGGGAAAGCATTCACTCTAAATGGTATGAGTAGGAGCCTATGGATCAGGGGAGGAAAGGTATCTGGTCTCAGCCACATCCTGCTAGTGCGCAGAAGGTCTAGGAAAGCTACATGAGAGAGCTGGGAAACTAAGCAGCCAAGGAGAGGCTTGGGTGAGTCTAAGGACAGCAGGCAAAAAGACCCATGGCAGTGTAGTAGGGAGCGTCACTGAAGGAAACTAACTTGCACAAGCTTAGGGGCCAAACCGGGATTCCCTTTAAAAGTGACAGAACGTCCTTCTTGGGTGGCTTATACTGAAGGGTATCAGTGGGTTACTGGGCTGAAGAGGGCCAGGTGGCATAGAGCAGCTGTCCTCCCACACCGCCCACTGCATCCGCTCGAGATCTGCTCTGGCTGCCCGAAGCTGCTATCCTGAAGTAACCAAGGCCATTTTCGGTCATCGCTCTCTGCCCTTTCCTGGCTGCTCACCTGAGTCCTCCTCAGTCACATAACACTCAGCGTCCCCGGCTCCTCTGCTCTAACAGAGCTAAATGCCCTACGTTATGTGTGTGCAAAGAATACCCACTTTTGAAGAGTCCAGCTAACTCTGTTACAAGCTTTGGTAATACTAAATTAGGAGGAGAAACAGAAGAATACCATGCTTACATACATATATATATACCTAGATATGTGTATATATGTGTGTGTGTGTGTTGGTGTGACAGAAGCCCTATGCCCCAATATCTGTATTTTTCAGGTATAGGGAAAAAAAACTGTTGAAAAAATCTTAGGACTTTTCTCATTCTCTGATTTTAAAGAAAGTGAGCGAGGTTTGTGATGCTGGATGTGAAATATTTTTTTATTCTTATCCCTCTTGGCCTATGGTGGTCACAAGCTGACCAGGATTCTTTTTAGTGCTTTTCTTAATTTTTTGTTTTCCAAGTAAATTTTGTCACCTCAAATGCTTTGTGGGAGCAGCTAGTGTGCTGTTGGCTTTTCTTTTTGTTGTGAAGGAAAAAAAAGAAAAATGTGAACATGGAACTTCATATGCTTTTGGAGATTTTGATTTGTCTTGCTGGGTAGTTTGTGCATCTTGGTGCTGGACTGGAATCACCAGATCATTGCCTCAGAGTGTGCAAGAGAAGAAGGAGTTGCATTTGCTGTAGCAATATGCTTCCTAAAACTACCTATGTTCTCATCCTGATCTGAACTTTATGCTTGTTTGCATTAGTCTATTTTTAAATTTAAATTTATTCTTAATAATTTAAATCAATATTTAATGTTCAGGTTAATGTGCTGTGCACACAGAAATGCTGCAAAGCAGCTCTCCTTGAAGCCCTTCTTTTTTTTTAGAATAAACAATGCTGTGAATAAATTGGTTTGAATTGATGTGTGCAAACATGCACAGGTGTTTGTCCACATTTCTGTACACAGCAGCCCTTATTCTCTACTCTGGCTAAGTTGCGCTCAGTATCAGCTTTTTGCTGCCTTTACACTTTTCCTCTTGTTAGAAGTTATTTGAAGTCTTACATATTTCTGCTGTCAACACACACTGAGAGGCTAGTCCGGAGGCATGAGATCCTGGGTAATGCGGAAATGCTCTGGCTAGGTCTCTTATCCCTAGATTTCTGTCTTGGAGGAAGGCAAGATAGGTACAAAGATGCTAAGGTGAATCTGGAGGGTGGGCTGGATTTTCTGAGGTCCCAATTGATTTGAGCTGTTTCAAAAAAATGTATTTTTAATGGCCAGTGTAATTGTGTTGTATATGGGCAGAAAGAGTATTGTAAATATTATGTACAGTTTTTGTCTCTCCCTAAGATTTACTGGTCGTCTTTCACTGCTTAAGTTTGCTTTTTCTTTATAACAAATGGGAACAGCAAATTCATCAGTTTGATCCCCTCTTGATATACTCGGTATTAACTTTTTGAACATTTTAAAAAATCTGAATATTGTCGTAGGCCAAGCTTACAGGGTGCCACTCTTCCAGAAGTTTAATGGTTTGAATCCATTCCTGAGTTCGCACTTTCTAACCCACGAGCCAGTAACTATACAAAGATTGGGCCAACTACAGAATGTTCTATGTTGATGCTCATTAATTTTTTTTGCTTTATAAGCATATAATTGAGATACAGTGGTTTTGCTTATTCAGATTTTCTTGTCATTGCATCCAGATGTATGCACATGTGTGTATATGTAAATACATATACAAACATGTGCTGTCCCAGCTTGTCCAAATGAGAATACAAGGGCAGTCAGTGCTTGGAGGGATGCTTTGAAGGAGTTTTGTCTGCAGTATTCTTGGAAATCTATCATTAAAAATGGCAATCATTACGTGGGGTGGGGGTAGGTGTGTGTCCAGCACACGAGCATTGTGACCATGGAAGAAGTTATCGCTTGCACCCTTGCCCAGATGCCCACTGCGTAGCCCTGCACTCCCTCAAGGAGGTCACCCCCGCAGCCTTGCGACCGGACACGCTCCTGGGAGGTTGTCCTGACTTATTGCAGTCAAGATGAACCAATTAAACCGTTTCCACAGTCAGTCTTGCTGATCCAGTTCCCTTGGACTAAAACGCAAGAGCTTCCATCAGCAAATCCAAGGGACAGTCGCTCCTGGCAGAGGGAGGAATAAGCAATTTGCGTTCATTGCTTCAGACTGATAGCAACCACCACTTCCCCCAGCACAGCTGGTTCCAGAAGATGCATGGCCCTGGCCTAATTATTGCTACAGCTGCTTTTGTACCAGCAGCCCCTTTCCAGGCTCCTTGCTAAAGTATGGCTCGGCAGTAAGCATTTATTCTTTCTAGGAGAAAACTTAATTGAAAAAGGCTTAGCCTCTCTCTATATATACATATATATTTTTAATCTTTAGGGACTTGTACTAGGTGTTATGTTCTAACTCCTGTAAGTCTAAAAACCACTTTCAACTAGATAATACCATCTTGCTGGCGATTAGTCCACCAAGTGACCTAGTGCCTTAGGCTGTTAAAAAATAGGTTAGTGAAATTTCTGAAGCATGAAAGCGTGCAAAGCAATGACAGTCCAAGGAGTGCTAAAGCGTGTCTGGCACAGATGTAGTCAGCTCATCTGGAGAGCCCCTCTGAAGGCTGTTGCTCAGTGAGGCCAGCCCAGCCCTGACAAGGCATCTCTCCACATTTTGCAGAGCTTGGCCAAGGGCTTTGCAGGTGCAGAATGGCCCTGATGCAGTGGGAAGAGGTGCCCCTGTTCCTGCACAGCAGCACAGCTTGTGAGTACGGCAGAGGTGTGGGAGACAGTGCTCGCAGGCAGAGCTGACCTCCGCCCCAGTCCCTCATGATTTTGTACCTATTTAAAATCTGCTTAATTTTTTTAAGCAAGTTATAACTTCAGATATGTATTTATATGCATATATTTATAAAGCCTGACTGCTGTATCAAAACACGAGTGACCCTCACAGGCACTGCGTAAGGAATCTCTACATCGAGGGGGGGAAAAAAAAGATAATAGATGCTAATTTGCTTCTCCAACAATTCAGCAAGAGCAGCTCCCTGAGGATTCACTGGGGTCCTGTGAACAATCCAGCACAGGCAGCTGGCTGAAGTGGCTCGTGGGTGTGAACCGTGTGTCCCTGGGCTTCACCTAACCCTAGCTGATGTAATACTGGGACTCTTTTCAGGCAGATGCATGGCTGAACAGCTTCTAGACTGAGTTTGGAAGGCATAATAAATCCATTGGCTTAGAGGGTGGATTAGACTCTTACGAATCAGCATGAAAACATTTTAGGGACAGGCCGTCCTGGTTTTGCCTACTTATTTCAGTGCTCTCTCTAACAGCTTGTATCAGGCTCTGGTACATCTGGATTGATGGACTTCAGTCCGGTGTGGCCATTGCTGTGTATCTATGATGTGATTTACGTCAGGGTTTGGGTCACTCCCTAAACCGCTCCAGCCCCAGTTCTAAACACCACAAAGGTTTCTTACACCTCCGATCCACAGACAATGTAAGCTGGCATATGCCAGCACTGATATTGAAAAAGGCGGTCACTTTCTCTTGACCTTAGCTGCTCATTCATGCCCTCGCACTTCCCTTATCCGTCCTGGGGCAACGTAAAGGCTTGTGCATCACAGCAAGCGGCTGGGGACAGCAGAAGGCAGCGTCGTCTTTTTTGGCAGCAGCGCTGGCTTAAACCCTGGTGTGGCTACGGTTTTGGCATCACCTGTTTTCCTCTGCCATTTCTGATGTAGCTTGAAGTCAGGGCAATGCATGATTTGATTTTTGTACAGAAGCAGGTTGGAAATGCCAGGTTGTGCACACAGAGGTGGAAGGCAAGTCCAAGTTTCTGAAAATTTGCTGCAAGTCCATATAAACTTCCAGGGACCAGAAGTTGTAGGGTTGCAGATGGCATGCTAAGGAGAAATAATGGTGATTGTGCGTATTTTTGCCACCATTTAGTTTATAAAGAAGATAGGAAAAAGCCTGGTTTTGTTTTACAGAGAAAATTCCTGTGTTTGTGGAGTACTACAGCTTTCTAGAGCCCTAGTAGGACTAAGGCAGACAAATCATAGGTGATAAAGCAAATTATCATAACAGGAAAGGCGATAACTTTCACAGGAAAATGATTTTCATCCAGATTTTTTGAAGATATATTTTAAGGTATGTGTAGCGAAAATGCCAAAGCCAATAGTTGGAAGCAAAGTTCTCTTGTTGAACATCGGTAAAGTGCTCCTTTAAATAAGAGCCAAGTGAGCTCCAGGGTCACATATCTGAATCCAAAAAGATAGACAAGCAGCAAAATTGGGCAAACCAACTCAGATATTCCTTAGATTAAAAAAAAAAAAAACTGAAATAATTGTGAAGAACGCTTTAATATAGATTGTGAGCAAAGAAAAATGTGCAAGCCCACTTTCTTTTCTCCTTTTGAAGTATACATCAAAATCCTGCTAGAACTATATCGTCTTTCCTCCTCGTTGACAGCGCTCCTAAAACTCTGTGTTGTCCCAAGGCATTGCAGCTCACCTGCTTCTGGTGCCCCAGTCCCTGCGTGCACCCAGACCCACAGTGCATAGCCCAGCTCCCCTCCCTTCACGCCTGCCCACAACAGGCCTAAGTCACGATGGCACATCCTCTCATATTCTCCGAGTCAGAAAAAAGTAATTTTGAGTGTTTAAACTCAGAAAAAGAAGTGAAGTTAAGATTAAGGCTCTCACTGTGTACGTAACTAAAATTCCTAGTATTTAGGTGAAGGTGGGTAAAAGCTTGTGCCAGACAAGAATGTTACAGAGCAAATAAAGTCACACTGGTTCTTGGAGCCAAATTTTAGCCAGGAAAATCTAGTCACAAGTTTTGTGAGCCCAAATCTTGCATTTCCATGCACGAGTGAGTGACAGCACATGCAGGTCAGCTAGGTAACCAGTCATCTGCTCATGTGTGTAAATACAGGCTTGCGCGTGTAAATGTTTTGCCAGATGAAGGTGAAAGTCTAAAATTGGAAAATTTGGCCCTTTTTGTCAGCCTCTACTGTATAAACCATGATGTTCTATGTTGAGCTGTATAACCGATAATCCTTACTTAGGCATATGTAGTTACAGATTTTATTTGTGCTCCGTTATGTCTCCTAAATGGACCTCATGGTCATAATTTGCTGAAATGTTGTAGCCTGAAAGGCAAGTGAGGAAAACACATGCTCTTTTTGATAAAAGAGAAATTTGAAAGGAGAGGGTGGAAATAAACATTTTCAAGTGCAGAAAATGGAAAGCAGTTGCTAAAAGATGGCTTCTGATTTGTTCTTCAGAGCCAAATCTTGCCTCCCTTATTCTTGCTGTATTAGTACCTTATTCTGTGAGGAGCCCCAGTGAAATTAGGGGAACAACTCGGAGCAGGGTCCTCTTTCATGTAACCGTGGCAGAGTCTGGCCATTAGGTGATGATAGGTGCAAGAGGTTTACCTGGGTAGTGTTTACTGAATTAGACAAAATACGAACCATGATCTAGGACTTTGTTTACAGGCTCCATGTTCATGTTTACAAACAATGATTTCTGAGGCTCATGCTTTTTATGTTTCCTGGATGAAAAGGGCAGCCAGTGTACAGATATTTATTATGTTTACCAGCGTTTCTGAATTGATTTTTTTTATAGCACATGGTTTTATGAAGTGTAATATTTTTATAGCAGAATGATGATCTTTGGACTTTCTATATTGTTACATACAACTGTTTGCAAATAAGCTCTCTGCTCCCTTTTTTCTGTGCACTGTAACCAGTGTTGCTGCTGCTACTGTCGCTGGCCTCAGCTGCTGCTGCCCCGCTGTGACGTGGGCTGATGGTATTGTGAAACTGTGCAAACTCACCTCAAAGAGCTGTGATTGTGCTGAAGGGCTGGCTGCGTGCTGGGCATCCTGGCAGGAGGGGATGGGGAGCGCGGTTGTCCCAGGGTAAGAGTTTACTGCAGATGGCCCCTGAGGAGAAGCCTCAGTGCTCACCTTTGTCTGTACTCCGCCACTTTGGTTTGGCATGCCCATCCTTCCCTTTCTTTATAAAGAAATAAAAAAGAAAAAAAAGGATCCTGCTTGTTTTTGCATAATTCCTTTTCAGTTCCCAGGCATTGGCCATGTTCGAATGACGTGTTGGTCATGGCAAAACTACACAGGCTACACAGTTACCTTTCATATTATACCTAAAGCTGTTATCTCTGTGCAGCCTGGATACGCAAACCTCTGATTTGGGAAGCAGCAAATAACCCTTTAACTCCTGATCTTTCAGTCAGCTCACCAGAAGAATGTGGGATTTCACTGCCAGATAAATCAAAGCTTTCACACAAGCTGCCTGATGTGGATTTCTCTTGCCCCTTAGAGGTCTTATAAAATATGGTTCTTCTGAAAATCGTTGGTAGTTGGCAAGCAGGTGGCATAGCTTTTTGTGCTTCGTGAACTTGCTAGTGACTACAAAAGCAAAATCCCTCCCTTCTGCCTTGAGGGGTTGGTTCTGCTTCCCTGGAGTTGCTGCACCTGAGTCTGCACAACGGTACGCTGGCATTCACGCTCCTGCACTGCCGCCAGCCCCAAAGGCATCGCCATGATGAAGAGCTCCCACAGGAACAGCATGTGATAGCAGGTATGAAAAAAAAAACTGCGTATGATTCAGGTCCGAGCAAGCGTAACAGAGGAAACTTGGGCCTCAATTACATTACTCAAAAGGATTTCTGCTCTGACCATAGCTGGTCTCGCACCTCTGTTCTCCTGCCAGGTGCTCCTGACCTACTCCCACTTCCATTCTTCCGTTCTGCTCTCCGTCCCTAGCAGGAGAGACCCTTCCTGTTTCTTTAGTCATCATGGCCCTTCATCACTAGGGCACTTTTGTGTCCCTCCTCATCCTCTACCCCCATCCAGGGCCTACCAGTCTTATGGATTATTCCTGCCTTCTCTTGCCGAGAGAAGCCTCTCTCCCAGTTATCCATCTTGTGGTTTTTTAATAACCTCACCTGGTAGGTAAGGCAAGGACTCCTACGCACTTGTCTTTATAGGCCTAGCGATTAAAAAATGAGGCTTTTCTGGAGAACATTAAATGAGTACAAGAGCATCCAAGTGGGAAGACCAAAGGCAAAAAAAGGCTGCTTCTTCCCTCCCCGCCTTCTAATTCCTCCTTTAACAAGACCACAGTCAGTTATAAGCCAAATTGAGCCAGTGTTTGACATATTTAACCCTGCAAAAGACATGGTTAGGAAGCACCGTGGCATGCCAGACTCTGGGCTGGAAGATGCAAGTCTTTCCCTCAAACCCCAGGAAAGGAATAAGTGAGACGTTTAGGTGCTTTGCCTCTTCTGTGGTGGAGCGCTCACTGGCACTGATGCTACTCCTAGAAGAGGAGGGCTTTCCTGAATAATCTGGAAGTGCTTAATACAAGACACTGCCCTTTCAGGAGGAAGCCTGCATCAACATCCATCTCCAGTCGCTGCAGTTACTGGTAGGCAACCATGCTTTTCTTCTAGAGGGAGAAGGATGCATCTGCTAAATAAAAAATAAAAATTAAAAAAAAAGCAAACCTCCCCTACCTCTCCCCTGCCTCGTAATCCTGCTTTTTAGTCAACATTCACATCTTCCTTATATTGCCTCCCACTTCATCCCCTTCCAGTGCACCTTTGGCTGTTTCAGCCCTTCTTTGTGTCCCACTTGTCATATGCCATGAGAATTGTCCTTAGGCGCAGAAAGTCTTTGTCGTATGTCTGAAAAGCATCATATTCAAAGGGAGCATAGCAACAGACCGAGGGCCTCAGGCGTTACAGTCAGGCAAATAATGGGTAGTAACAATAACAGCTAATGTCTGAAGGTCACAAGAAGCAAAGACTTTGCATTAAAGCTGTGGAGAAGAACTGGACACAAGCCTTTTGTGCTATGCCCAGCTATTCAAGTTAGCCATGGATTATTTGGCATTGCATTGACTCCCAAAGTTGCCATGGTCCCACTTTTTGGATGCAAGATGGAGGAAGAGGATCTCTGTCCGTTGAGCTACCTGGACTCTCCAGCTCCAGCTATTCACGGTCTTCTCACTGTTTCCTAAATAACCAAAGCTGGCCTGAGCTCAGGTCCATTCTTTGCTGAGGAAATTAGTTTATAAAAAGGCCGGTGACTCATAGTCAGTGGTGAGGCTGTGCATTGTTTTGGCTTGGCTTGCTCCTGCCTAATTAATTCTTCCTGCGCTTCAGGTTCTGCAGAGTCACTGGTAAAAATAGCTCACATTTTCCCTACTGTAGAAAGCAGACGTGAATTTTAATGACAGTCTCTTTACTAAAACATCATAGCAAAGAATCAATGATTTCCAGTGCATTTACCCAGAGCTCCCATTTGCCAGGTTATTGTCTGGTCTCTTCTCCCTCTTATAAACTCTATTATAATCAGTTACTTGCTTTACTTTCCTGTCTCAGGCGAGCTGCTTCTCTAACTGGATAGTCAGTGTGAAGAGCGAAGGGAGGATTTTTCTTTAGTGTTCAGCTTGGATAAGTGGGTGGATTTCAAATATAAATCTCCACTAATTGTTGCCGTCTGCAATGACCCCAGCTCAGTGGGACACAGTGGGAAGGCCCTCACCTAATGTCAGTAACCACGTCCCCTTGAAGTCAGAATCAATGTACTGAAAAGAACATTGTCGGATTAAACATCCAAGACTTTTCCTAGAGACCTAAATTTATTTCACCTCTTGGAACTAAAATGCATAAATGCTTTTAGGAAAGGTAGCTATTACAATGAAGCCTTACACACAAAGAATAGAAACAGCCTGCGTTTCACTTCAGAAAAGTGACAAGAGTGATTTGTCAGATTTTAAATACTTCGGAAAGTGTTTATTTCTTGCTCTTTGGACCTCTGTTCTCATTTCAACCCCCTCCTGCTACCATCTGTTAAACTGTGAACAGAGCGGCATGTCAATGACGGGGCTGTACTCTTTGTATTGGCTCTGCGGAGTAATAGACCTAGGAGAAAACTCTGCCAAGGACAGAACAATGTGTATTTATGGGTGAGAATAAAGTGATACATACAGCTGAGACTTATACTTTGGCCTGGGCAAAAAAGTGCACGTTCAGCTGAGAAAAGGCGAGGATTATTTATTCTGCAATTCAGGTGCAAATTTGTCATTACTCTCCCAAGCCAAAGAATAACAGGAGCTTTCTGTGAAAGATATTAGACCCACACATGCATGTGACTTGCACAATCCCCAGTTCCAGGAAGTCTTCAAGTAGCCTCATGCTCTTCTACCACCACGTAGCCCATCAGGAAAAATCCAGCGCTGGCATCTGAGTCAGGCTGAGTCAGTTATATATTAGTATGCCCACCAACTTATGTATAAATCATGGGGGCTACAATACTGGTTATATTGATTCAGGTTAGGAATACATCCTCTTTTGACTTGCAGTCAGCAGCTAAAAATGAACCTGAAACAGTCTAGGTTGCTCCCTCAGCCTAACTGAGGAAAATCCGCTGCCATTGGCCATGTCCTATGCTTAAATCTCAATGCTTCATTTTTCTCAAAACTTTCAGTTAATATCATCAACTAGCACTTGACACTCTTAAAAATCAATCCCTAAGGACGTGGCAAAACCTCATTGATGTAATTGGAAGCTTCATCCCTGGCTTCTAAAGAAATCTGGAAGAAAAGATTGAGGGAGTATATATTAAATGTCAGCAAATGCCACCCCAAAAATGTCACTCAGGCCTCAAGTGCCATTTTTAAAATTCACTGATTAGTATTATTCAATATGTTTAAAGTGAGTCAACTCATGCTGGAGTAGTGAAGTGAGGATGCAGTGAGAAGAGATCTTGTTTCTCTGCATTTCTAATAATGGACAAGACATAAGTACTATCTGAGCAGCAGTATAGCATAATAGTGGTGGGAAGCATAATTATGAAAGGAAGCAACTTTGATTAACAGCCTGTCCTCATCAGTGATGAAAATGTCAATTAGAATTTTTAAAATGCACATCAGATTGAACACAGGGGAAATAAAAGCAGGGTGTGATATTTTAAGCAAATGGCAAGGGACATCACTGAAAATACTACGGAAAAATCGTGGCTGACAGAACCTGGAAAAAATAAAAACTCTTTAAAATTAGTAGAGACAGTGGAAAAATGAGCATGATATATGCTCACCCTTAGGAAGAGATAGTAAGATTATTATTAATAATGCAGAAAAGATTCTTACAATTTCTGCTCTGTATTTTGAAGCAGGGCGATGTATTGCATGAAGATAATAAAATCTTTTCCAGTCCATTAGTACCCAAGAAAGGTGTTAAAAATGCTACATCAATAAAGACAGATACATTGCAATACTAATTAAGTTGCCTATGGAGATTGATTATGTTACTTTTTACCAAGCCATGGACTATGGGAAATTCCAGAAGCCTGGTGTTAACGTTGTGCCAACGTACAAAAAGAGCAAGCAAAACCACCCTGATACATAGAGGCCAGTTATTCCAGTTTCTATCCTATGTGAAGTAACTGATAACCAGATAAAGGACTCCACTGACCAAGTGCTAAAGAATATGGTTTTATGCAAGACATATTTGTCAGATATGCCTAATTTCATCTCCATTGTCGTTGCAAGTTTTGTCGATAAAGCTAACTGCAGAGATATAATGCATTTTTGTTTGTTTGTTTTAAATAATAAAATAATGCTAGCAGAACACATGAAACGCATTAAGAACTGGCAGAGTGACAGATCTAAAAACGTAATTGTCATAGGGGGGCCTGGCTGCACTGATGTGATTCCTAATGAGATTCCAATGGGATCATCTCAAAGTTTGACACTAATCAAAATTTTCACTGTTGGTTTTTAGGTCACTGCTAACAAAATCTGAATGTGCCAGAAAAAAATTGAGGGTAGCATGTGAGGTAGTGATGCAGGGCAAGCTGTGCAGAAAATGGCCTATTCAAACAAAATTTGTTTTAATATAGTTGAATGCAATTATAAACCTTGGAACAAAGGACGTAGGTTACACCTGTGAAATGAGGAAGTATATCT